TTGCCCCACAGTCTGTGGGGCTCCCGGCCAAGGCATGCACTGTGCCCCGACCTTTGAAACGGGGGAAGCTTCTGGGCACCGCAGGGTGGGCAGCAGCCAGGTGGGGGTCCAGACAGCACCCCAGTCCTGGTGACATGCACCCTGGGTGTAGGGTCGTGAGCCCTTTGTCATAAACCTGGGAGGTGGCTCAGGCGTTGGGTATTAGCTGGTCTGGGGAGGGATGTGCCCGGGGATCCACTGTTGGTGCCCGTCCCTAAGGACCTGACAACGATCTGAGGACCGATTCTTGCCCTTGCCGAGGTCCCCCACTCTAACCAGGATTAAAGCCCAAGGGGCCCCATGTTAGGATGGTTACCAGCCCACTGCTGATGCGCTGAGGCCAGGCGCTTGTGCTGAGCCCCACCTCAGAGGGCCAGCCCCCCGACTGCAGTCAGTGCCAAGGAGGTGCAGCTCCTGGGGGCTGCACCTGAGCGCCCTCCCTTTCTGCCCCCCCACCCCCACCCCCACCCCCACCCCCACAGAAGTGCATCCACCTGAACCGCAGCATCCTCAAGAGAGAGCTGGGCCTGCAGGAGGAGGACATCATCCCCATCCCGCAGCTCTTCTGCCTGGAGCACATCGCCAACGCCCCCTCCAGCGAGCAGACGGAGAAGCTCTATGCCCGGCCCTACTTCCCCGACCTGGTGAGGGCTGTGGGCTGCGTGTCCCGGGGGCAGGGCTGGGGGCTGGCCGGCCTCGGGGCTAGACTAGAGGCCGGGGTCCCAGCAGACAGGGGTATCTGAGAGGAAGGGGCGTCCCGCCTCAGTAAGGGGAGGCCCCTGCAGGGAGCAGGTGAGAGGGGCCCAGGCTGGGTGACTCACCAAGCAGGTGCCCACCCCATAGATGGGGACACCAGGGTTAACAGGGCTAAGCCATCTGCTGGCCACAAGGCCACAGACAGTCTCTCTCGTGGGGTCTCCATGTATCTGCAGCACCCTCCGATTTGGAACAGGAAATGGGTATTTGGGGGGTGTGGGTATTATGAGAGACCTCTGCTAGGCTAAGCCTCTTTCAAGCGTGGTCTACACCTGACCTTTCTCTTATCCCTGTGACCCCTCATGGAGGCACCTAAAACTAATTGAAACACTTGTCAATTTCTTAAACACTTGCAGGCCTCTTTAAGCCCAGGGGGTGCAGGACCTGCATTCAGTTGCAAATGGTTCTTTTTACAAAACCAGTGAGGCCCTCTGGGCATGGAATATGGGAGCCTTTCCCTACCCTGGAAGAAGGGAGGTGTGGGTAATGGTGGGAGAAGCTGTGTTTGAGGAAGAGATGCTGCAGTGAAGGCGTGCGAAGTGGACAGAAGTCCAATGAGGAAACCGGGGGTGGGGCGCACTCCAGCAGAGGCGGGGGGGGGACGACCAAAGGAGACTTAAGGGAGCGGGGAAGCTGCAAGGCTAGGCCTCCGCCCGCAGGAGTCTGGTCTCGCTGCTCGGAAATGCCGGGGTCACTGGGAGGGTTCAGCAGCGCGGGGAGGGCTGCTCAAATGGACGCGTGATGCCTGCCCGAGCACAGGCTGTTCCTGGTCTAGCCCAACCGCCGACGCAGCTCGGTTTTCCCTGCCCTGAAGCCTAGGGGACTGGGGGGCTTCTCCTCCACGGCTCTGACCCCTCTCCAGGCCTGACCCACCGGACCCCCCTCCGACAGCTGCAGATGGTTGTGATGGGCCTGAACCTGGGCATCCCCAAGCCTTTCGGGCCCCGGGTCAACGGCACCTGCTGCCTGGAGGAGTGGGTCTGCCGGTTCCTGGAGCCGCTGGGCTTTCAGTGCACCTTCATCGACGACTTTGACTGCTACCTGACCGAAATCGGAGACTTCTGTTCCTGTGCCAACATCCGCCGGGTGCCCTTTGCCTTCAAGTGGTGGGGCATGGTCCCCTAGACCATCTGAGCGCTGCCCGCCCCGCCCGGCACGGAAGGCCCATGGTGGCCACCTGCATGTCTGACCGTGCCTGCTCAGGGCTCCCCTTCCTCACCCTATGTGCCTCCAGCTCCCAGCTGCTCAGCGGGTGGCAGTGTTGGCAGCCTGAGCCCCTTGGGAAAACACGGAAAATGGCCTTCAGCAGAGAAGTTACTAAAGGCCCATTAAAGTCCTAGCTGTTCTGACTGCACCTTGGCCATGACCTCCTTCTTTGGGGCAGGGGGTGGTGGGGACGGGCTGACTGCTCAGGATGCAAAGCACAACAGCTGGGACCCCCCCCGCCGGCGTCAGGCTGCCTGGAGCAGGAAGTGGCTGGGCTCGGTCACCATCCTCTTCTCCACTGGATCTCGATGCTTGAACTGCACGTGAGACTCTAGGCTGGGAGAAGGGAGAGGGCTACCCTTCGGCCAGGGGGGAGTTGCTAGGGGCCAGTCCCAAGGAACTGACCCTGGGCCTCGCGGACAGCGAGCTTCAGCAGGACCAGGCTCCGATCTCCTGAGTAGGCAGGTATAGCCTCTGAAGGGCAAGCTGAGTCTCAGTCCCTAGGATGCCTGAAGTGTCCGGGAGAGAGAGGGGCCCACTCCTGCTGAAAGACCTGAGGTTTAACCACAGCTGCTCCCGCCCTGCCCCACCTCCTGCCCAGACACTGGGAACGGGGCGGGGCCGATAGGAGGGGCTGATCTGAGTATGAAAGCATCCCAGAGGGAAAAGCGCCACAGGGAAGGTGCTGGAAGGCTGGTGGCCTGGAGAAGCTGTCAACTCAGGCGGAACAGAGGCCGCGGGGAGCCCCCTGGTGGACAGCTCGCCACACTGCCACGTGGGGACCAGCCCAGCCTCGACAAGGGCTCCTCCGCAGGGCTCCCTATGAAGGGCGGGGGGACCGGGCGGGGCACGTTAGGAAGCACTTCTGTGTTCTTCCCCTTGGTTCCACTGAAAAAGAAGTGCAGAGGCCAAAACAGAGCAAACAATGATGCCGTTTATTTAAAATGTTTACTCCAAGAAATATATATATAAAAAAAGACAATACAGCACTAAACCAGGCACCTTCAACCGAATCACCACCTCTTCCTGGGTTCTCCCCTTCACACTCAGACTCCTGGCCCACAGTCTCCTTCCTGAGCTGATTCGGGCCACCACACCCCACACCCCAGGCCGAGCTGTCTCCCAGTTCCCTGTTCTGAAGGGTTTCCCGCCTAGGAACTTCATTTTAAAATTCTGAGCTCCAAGCAGTGACTGGGAGAGAACAGGGCGGCCTCAGGTGGAGGGGAGGTCCCTTTCCTGCTCTTGCTCCAGCCCCCAGCAGGGGCCCCAGTGTGGGCCGGGCCCCCGGGTGGGCGCACAGCCCCAGGGAGCCGCACACGGTCCAGGAGTGTGGCTGCCACGCCCGCTTCAGGAAGAGCTCTGTCGGGGGAAACCGAGGGGCTCTACACAGGGAAGCTTGAGTGAGAGATGGTGGTTAGAGGGTGATCTGAACAAATCAGGTTAGTTTAGCAGAAGCTCTGAAGTTGCAGAAGCTTCTCCCCTGGACTATAAACACAGACAGCAGAGATGAGCGTGAAGTCAGACTAAACCTCAGCAAAGATGCAGGCTGGCCTCCTGCCGCGAGGCCTCAGGACTGGCCGGGACTGGCCAGGACAGGCGCTGCCACATGCCCTGTGCAGGAGGGTGCCGCCATCAGGAGTGGCGGGGTGGGAGGGACGAGGAGAGGAAAAGCAACGACTAGTCATTTTTGGCATTTTAACATCGAGACAAAAACGGTACGAGCGAAGCAAAAAAACAAAAAAAGACCAATATTGAACTCTGCCGTCCACCCAGTCTCACACTGCACCTCTCCCCCGTCTCCCCAACAAGCACCACTGACCTAAACAGCTATTTTAAAGCACCCAAACCAGTCCAGACCCTCTCGAGACCAAGAACCTGGCCACGGCCGCCGCCTCCCTCGGGTCCGAGCAAGAGGAGGGTTCCGGGAAAGGCACCTCGTAACTCAGGCAGCGCCAGGGACCCAGGGACGTGCTGGTGCGCAGGGCACGTGCGGGGAGCCGGTCGCAGCCCCTGCGCTGACTCAGGGAAGGGGACTTCTGCCACGATCCCAACTATTTGGTAGCACAGCCAAGCAAATGTGACTCGAGAGCTGGGCGTTGGAGCATGAACCCGGGCCTCGGAAACAGACGGGGCTGTTCCAGCAGGATCCAGCCAGGGGCTCGGGATAAAGACATAAACACGAAGGCGACAAAGGCTGGGACACAGAGGACGCTCCTCCTCCCCGGGGACTCCAGAACGCACTGTGTCCTGCTGGCCAGTCTCTGACGGCGGGTGCTGGCGAGGAGACCCCGGCTCACGGGAGCCTTCGAACTGGATCTGGAACCACGTCTGTCCACCCCCCAAGTCCCCACTGGTTCCAGGATCACCTGATTTTCATTTGGACTTCTTTGACAGCTAAAGTAGATATAAATGGCTAAACAGATATCCACAAGCCCCCACCGGGGGGGAAATGGCAGGTTCTATTAATGTCACAGCCAAAAGGCAACGGGGCTTACAGGCAGCCAGGGGGAGGAGCAGAGCACACGTGGCAGGTCTAGAAGGAAAAGCGGGAAGGCAGCGAGCTGGGTGCTGCGGAGCACGCGGGGGCCATATTGTCTGAGACGGACCACTGTACAGACCTGTCCCAGGCAGCACCCGCTGGGCTCACAATGCTCAACACAATGGAAAGGGGTGTTTTTGAGAAGTGTACGGGGCGGGGGAGGGGGAACCTAAAAAAAAAGCCTAGATTGCTCAAAGTTTCTGCCTCTTTTGTAGGAATGGTAAGTCAACTATGAGCAAATATTTTAATTAAACATTAAGAAGGGGTAAAAAAAACCACTTTGGAAAGCATACAGAAAAGGTAGTTGGCGTCGAATCGCTTGTAAAACGGAACCTCAGGGAGTCTAACAGAACTGCACCTTCGGTCAGCTTTTGCTCCTGAAGTCCCTCGCTTGACTCCCGTCCCAGTGCGCGTGGACATGGCAGCTGCCGCGGGCGGTGTGGGGCGGGGGCTCCGGGCGTCAGAGGGTCCGCGGGGTGTATTCTGGCAGTTTCCTGACCTTCTCCTTCTCCGCCTCACTTTCGTCTCTCGCGATCACCAAGGAGTGTGAGTAACCCATGGCCACCTAGGGGGCAAGCCGGCAGAGGCGGGCAAGGGCACGTCAGCCAGGCACTGAGTTTGGGGTTGATACGCCCGAGGCTGATGGAGGGACACTGGGAAGCGACGCTGCCCAGAGGTCAGCACAGAGGTCAAAACGGAGGCACCCTGGAAAGCTCAAAAAGGCCCTGACTGAGGACCCCCAGTGTCGGCGAGACTGCCCCCAGCACCCTACCAGCCGGCCGTCTGGGCCCCCAGCAGGCCTGGACACCGACAGCCGGCAGAGGCCAGCGGGGACCTGGGGACCGTGCTCCCGGCCCCCTCTGCCTGCAAACCACAGCCCCGCCTCGTGGGAAAGACAAGCCCCCCCGCGTCTCGGCGACAAGGGCTGGCGCCTGATGCGCGAGTCACAGGGGCCTCACCCCACCGCCCGCCCCACTGCCTGGAGTCTCGAGGGAAGGTGAGATGCAGATGGGAGCAGGTGCCCGCACTGGAGCTGGCTGGCTGTGCCTGGACCGTGGCCGGTGGCCCTCAGGCTGAGGGCAGCTCACCCCTGTGCTGGCCTGGTCACCCTCCAGAAAGCCCTAGCGTGGGGCACAGGGAGCGGCAAGCGAGACCAGGCAGCGTGCCAAGGGCAGAGGCAGACGAGCTCGGCCCGGCTCACCTTCTCTCCCTGTCCCCAGGGCTCCCCACTCACCTGCTCCGTGAAGATGCCATCAAGCGTCTTCACCTCCTGAGCTGCTGTGGAAGACTTTGGCTTGTGGTCCCCGTACCCCTGGTGAGGCAAACAGAGGGATGCTCTGAACACCAGCTGGAAAGCAGAGACCAGGGCAGCCTGCCCAGGCCTCCCACAGACCCAGGGCCTTGCACAGACCCAGGGCCTCCATGGCTGAGCCCTGCAACCTCAGACTCGAGGCCAGGCCTGGGCAGCAACGGGCACCCCCAGGCACCAGCAGGTACCCTGTCCTAAGCCCAGGACCGAGGTGCTAAGGACGTGAGCATAGAGTCTGCAGGAGACAGCAGCACGCCGAGGACAGGGATGGCGGCTGTGGGGCTCCCGGGCCACGAGCCCTGCCCTGTCCCCACCAGTGTCCAGGGGACGGAGGGACAGCCCAGGGCGCAGAACATATGCTACGGTGTGAAGGTGAGCAATTGAGAAAGGCGGGCCTTTCAGCTCAGCTCAAACAAGGGCCCCCACGGAGGGCCGGCTTCCTCTGCCACCAGCCAAGGACCACACGAGCTCCTCAACTCTGAGAGACTGCCCCCAAAGTCCACCTTGTTCCCTGCAAGTCTCCAAATCGATACTCGGAGTCTATTTCTGATAGGTGCTAGAACATCTTCTCTAAGAAGGACCTGTAAACACTGGGCCAGGTCCTCATCTCTTTCAAAGCTCCGCTGCATAGCCCAAGGAAAAGTCATGGTCAAGGCCACCAGCCCTGGAGACGGCACGGGGTCGAGAAGCACCCCATCACCCCACACCCATGAGAGGGGGACAGGAAACCCAAGAGCCAGGCTGATGATCAAACTGCAACGAGGACAGGCAGACATCAGGGTGAGCCCCAGCCCAGCTGTTCTTGATGAAGACATTGAAGGTTAAGAACTCCCCATGCCCCAGAAGCTAAGAATCAGACGTTGGGTGAGAAGGCCAGGTGTGTGGGGAAAGTTAATCAGTCCAGTAACAGATTAAAAGCAGGAACAAAGACAAAGTTATTGCGAAAAATGAGGGAAGAATGTCCCCAAACGACCTCAGAGGTTGGAAACCAAGAAGACTGGATACATGGTCACCGCTGGCCCCATGGTTTAGGAGGAAATGCTGATCCTGTAGCTTGAAACCCTCCTGGGGAGAGCAGAGAGCAACCACCCTCTCTCCTATTGCGTCATCCCACAACTACCATTTACATGTCAGGGGAAACAGGACCTGGAACTTCCCAGTTTCCACTAACAATGTGGCCAGAAAGGACTTTCAAAAAATCATTTGATGAGCAAAGGAACATCTTTGAAAGCTGAAGCGACACTGCAGACCTGCATGCAACAAGGACACAAGGATACACAACTCATTCTTTCTGCGCATTTTCAGGAGGTGGATCAGGGAGCCCAAGCGGGGCTCTGCCCCTCTAGGCAGGGACCAGCTTACCAGCTCCCCAAAGGTCGGCGAGGGGCCCCAGCTGATCGTGCTCTCGTCCGCAGCCACGATGATGCTGCTCTTCCTGCAAAAGGGCAGCAGCTGTTACCCCGGCGTCCAGCAGTCCAGCCCTGCACCCCACCAACCCAGCAGCCCCAGGCACTTCCATGGGCTCCCTGCAGGGTGCGAAGCTACCAGCATAAAATCAAGCTGGCCCCACTAAAACCTCCATCTGCGAACAGCACAGCACAGGGCCAGAGAGCATCTCCTGAAGCCCGCTGCCCAGAGCAGACCCAACAGGAGAAACCCTCATGGCCCAGAAACATCCCCTGGAGCGGGCCCCCATGTCCCCACCCCACACCCGTTGTCAGTTCTCGGGCCCGCGGGGCAGGAGGCCCCTTTCAGAGGAACACACACTGGGGAGAGGAAGAGGCACCAAGCCAGGATGGAGAGCTTGTTCGGAAGGGGCGGCACCTGCTGGACAGGAGCCCGGGCGGGCCCCAGGTCTCAGGTTACAGCCACGCCGTCCCAAACACCACACGGCCACCTGCCCCAGACCTGGCAGGTGACGGGTGTCACCCAACTCTTCCCCGAGAAGCGCTACACAGTCCAAGAGGCACCCTCAAAATAAACAGAAAACCACTGCCTTAAAATCACTTTCTCGTTCCCACTGTATCACAGTAACTTAAACTGTCCTAACTAAATAGAATTTTGAACCTGCAACATGAATAGAGCGCACCATCTTCAAAGAGAGACACCCTCAGTGACTTTCTGTAACGGCAGGAAAGGGAGTCACCTGTCCGAGGACCTCCCAACTCCCCCTGCTCTGAGCAGAGTCCGTCCCCTCCAGACTCTGGAATTCGGGGCACCTGACATCCCAATGGAAGAGTGGAGCCCTCCAGGGACAGGGCACCTCCTAGTTGTGTCCAACATGCCCAGGGTGGGGGCAGACATCCCGCTTACAGGAGACATGGTCACATACCCACAAGCCAGGCTCCGGATTCTCCAGCCACAGAGGTCCTGCACGGCCTTCGGGTACATGGTGGACTCCCGGGACGTGTTGGTGGCCCCCCAGAAAAACAAACCACCTGGGAAAGACAAACACATCCCCACTGTCACCGTCATCTCAGAAGCTGGATGACTCCTCATCTCAGCAGCATCAAATGAGAAAAGAGCCTGGGCGGTTGATGAAATCAGGTCCCTGGTCTCGAACAGGGCAGAGGCCACAGGACTCCCCGGTGGAGCACGCAGCCAGGCAGGGAAACTGTGACTCTGGACGCCTTCCTCCCGAAGCCCAGACAGGGAATCACTGACCTACTTCACTGACGGCGAAGGAGCAGGTGTAGCCAGCGTAGATCTGGGACGCCCCACGCCCCGGGAAGTCGAACAGCTTCACCAGGCGGGGGACCATCTCATCCTTCTGCTCGGCGTGGCCCAGCCGGCCATAGCCACCGAAGCCCCAGGAGAAGACCCGCTTCTGGGAGTCCAGGACCAGCTGCAGGGGGAGAGAGCATGGCTCTGGGACGGGACACGCAGGGGGCTGCCGCTCTGCGAGTCTGCAGCCGCGGCTGGGGGCACAGGGCAGACACACAAAGGTGACCCCTGCCTGCGTTGGACGGGAGAGGGGCCCGCCAGCAGCAGGTGCAGCACAGCGAGGAGGCCTGCTGTTTCCTCCGCCGGGGACACGACTTCCATTCCTAGGAAATGGGTATTCAAGTTCTAAGTCTTCCCCTTTCCCTCATTAAAGTGAGGTCTCTAGAGCAGGCCACCGCACTCCACTTCCTCTTTCAGCCCTGACTCAACTGCAGACAGAGCCTGGAGGAAGAGCCCTGCCTACCTCGCATTCTTCTTCAGGCGGGTTCACATCATACAGGTGACCTCCACCTGATCACAGGCGCAGTGCGCATGGTGCCAGGTCAACAATTTAAAACCCATCTTTACATGCATCCCGATGTTCACGTAGCATTCTTTACAACAAGCAAGACATGGGAACAGCCCAGGTGTCCGTGGACGGAGGGACAGATAAACACGGTGTTTGTGCGACAGCCTGGAAGGGGGGAGCTTAGGGGAGAACACACCTGAAACGAATGTTAACACTGTTCATCAGCTATACTCCATTCTAAGGTTAAAAGTTTAAAACAAATTTATAAAGTAAAACACCAATTTCTCTTCTTAAAAAAAAAACGGTATGCATACACAATGGACTACTACTCAGCCATCAAAAGAATAATGTCATTTGCAGCAACGTGGAGGGACCTGGAGATTATCGTACGAAATGAAGTCAGAAAAAGACCACACAATATCACTTATCCAGAATATGACACAAATCAACTTATTTATGAAATAGAAACAGACTTACAGACCTAGAAAACAAACTCACGGTGACCAAAGGGGCAGTGGGGATGGTGGAGGCAGCAGAATGAAGGAGAAGTCTGCGATTGGCAGACACACACTAAGGCGACAACCAGAAAGGCCCTACTGCAGCACAGCGAGCTGCACCCAATGCCCTACAGCACATCACACTGGAAAAGAACATGGAGAAGAACACAGAACGATAAAGCTGAGCCCCTCTGCTGTGAAGCAGAAACTAGCACACGATAAACCGAGTCTGCTTCAATTAAAAACCCATCTGCCCCTCTCGTCTCCTTGATGTCTGGGGTTTGAATCGTGTACATGTAGAACCTATAAACATGATTTAAGGTCAGAGGCCTAAGTAAGATCTATGTCTTCTGACTACACTGCATAAAAAGCAGCAGTCGTTGGACTTGAAGGGACTGAAATTACCCAGTCCTGAGGTCACAGAGCCAGGTGCCCATATACAGGAGACTGACCTGTCTCTGAACTCTCAGCAGGACAAGGGAGATGAGAACCAAGTCTGACTCTCAGCCATTTGCAGGCAAAATAACCACAGGAAGGCAACTAAGATAAAAAGATATACATACGAAAGTTTTATCGCCTTGATCTAAATGGACCTTTAAGGAAACACCCTCAATGAGTGAACCCGCTCAGTGCCCTGAGAGAGCATCAACCTGGAAAGGCAAAAGACAAACAGGAAACCCTTACGAATGACCCCAGCCCAGGGTCTGCCCACTCAGCTCCGGCTGTGGACGCCCTGCAGAAGCTGGCAGGTGAAAATGATGCCCCCAAACATCTGAGGGTATGAAGCCCTCCAGGCAGCCAGGGCCCATTATTTGCTTTGCAAAGCCCAGGGTCTCCACTGAGGTGAGAAACACTGAAGCCTTACCGTGTGGTTAGCGCCACAGGCCACGTCCCGTACCACCACATTTGGGACGGGCAAGATCTGGCCGTCTTTCGTCTTCTCAATGAAGATGGCCACGCGCCGCGGCACCAGTTCACAGTCATACTCTATCCGCTGCGCCCGGGCAATGAACTTGCCGTCCGAGTTGTGCCCTGCAGTGAGCACAGAGGTAGCCATCAGTCACAGCAGGGACCTGGGCGTAGGGCACCTGTCCATCTAGCCGGGCCTCACAGGGGCTTTGGTCACCCAAGGTAGCATCCTCCTATCTGAAGCATGTCCAGGGCATGGAACTGACATTGTGGGTTGAAAGCACTTACTTTACCAAATGAACAGAAATCAGAATAAGAAACACCCAAGGATACTGTCCCTAAAAGGGAGTTTTGTGAAAACCCCTCTGTCTGCGTGACAAAGTCTGGGCTGGGCTGAGGCTAGACACGCGGGAACCTCACACCCACAGGCTGGTCTGCTCCGCGCCCGCGTCGGGGCCTCCGGGGGCCCTCCACGGGCCGAGAACGGACCAGAAAGGCCAACCGGTCCCCAGCGACCCAACACGCTGGAGCGGTTACCAGAACCAGGCACGCTGTCGTCTCTGCCGCGCTGACCCTAAGTCTGTCGTGCGGGCGAGTGCACAGCTCTCAACTCAAGCTCTAATTCCCCGCGGCCCCGTGGGCTCGGCCCACGGGACTGAGGGCTGGTTGTCAAACAGTCTGGGCAGTGAAGACTGACGGGCGCCACAGACACAAACGAAGCCAGTCCCTCAACGCCCCTTTCAGGGAGTGTAAGCCCGGGAGTCCAGGTATCCGCGCCGCGGCGGGGACGGGCGCCCGGGAGTCGCTCCCTCAACGTCAGCCCTCATCGGCGCCTCGCCTCCCAGAGGGAGACCCTATCGCCGCCGGCCTGAAGGGCGCGCGGCCCCAGGGAGCCGCGCGGCGTTTCCGGAAGCAGGCCGGCCGCTCACTTCCGGCGCTTCACGGGCCGGGGCCGGCACCGGCGCCCACGGCCAAGGAGGCGGTTTCTCCAGCGGGCTCTGGCGACTCCCTGGCAACCAAGAGGCGTGTGCACGGGGCTGTTCCTCCTCACTCACTTCTGACTAAGGTACATTCAGTCTAACAAAGGCGCTGCTCTCTCTCTATACCGCCTCCCATCCGCCGCCCGAGTGACGCGGGGACCCCGGCGCTGAGGAGCCTGCGCGCGAGCGGCCACGCGGCCAGCAGGGGGCGCCCGCCCACCGGGCGCGGGGTGGGCGGCGTCGGGAGGGAGAGTGGAGCCCCTCCGCCCACCGGGCGCGGGGTGGGCGGCGTCGGGAGGGAGAGTGGAGCCCCTCCGCTCACCGGGCGCGGGGTGGGCGGCGTCGGGAGGGAGAGTGGAGCCCCTCCGCCCACCGGGCGCGGGGTGGGCGGCGTCGGGAGGGAGAGTGGAGCCCCTCCGCCCACCGGGCGCGGGGTGGGCGGCGTCGGGAGGGAGAGTGGAGCCCCTCCGCCCACCGGGCGCGGGGTGGGCGGCGTCGGGAGGGAGAGTGGAGCCCCTCCGCCCACCGGGCGCGGGGTGGGCGGCGTCGGGAGGGAGAGTGGAGCCCCTCCGCCCACCGGGCGCGGGGTGGGCGGCGTCGGGAGGGAGAGTGGAGCCCCTCCGCCCACCGGGCGCGGGGTGGGCGCGGGGTGGGCGGCGTCGGGAGGGAGAGTGGAGCCCCTCCGCCCACCGGGCGCGGGGTGGGCGGCGTCGGGAGGGAGAGTGGAGCCCCTCCGCTCACTGCCAGTCACCTCCTGCGTTTGACTTCTCTCCTCAATGGAATCTAAGTCAATTTCCTCCCTTCGGTTTAGGGCTGAAAATCCGGAATGGAATCCTCCTTTGAAATGATTTTGGCTCTTCTGTATACCTGAAGCAGTGGCCCAGGCCAGGGTGTTCTAAACAACCTTACTCTTGTATAATTTCCTCACTTTTGATAAAGGCAAATCTTTAAATATGAAAATGAATGAACACAGGCTTGATTAAAAATTGAAAAGGAAAAGAAAAAAGAAAACCTTGAAATCCTTTTAGATAAAAATGAATTCCCAAATGTGAAAAAAAACCCTTTGACAGACTCATGCCCTGACTTTCATTAAGGCAAGTCCCTGTCAAGACTCCACAGCCCTGTGAGTTACGACATGCTGGTCCACGGAACGGGACATCCACTTAATGGATCAAGGCCATTATCTGCAATCAATTACCCACATTTCTACCATGTGTGTGCAGCCCCACACTGACTGCTAGTTCTAAACATACAGTTATTTTACAGAGCTTTTTAAAAATGTACTTGCATACCCAGCTGACCATATTCAGGGCACCCAAAGGAATAGAGGTTTCCTTTGCAGTCCATTATCATACTGAATTCAGCCCCACAGGCCATTTTGGTAATTGGCTGGCCGTTGTACATTATCTGAAAAGAAAAGACAGCAGACTTTCAGACTTTTTTTTTAAAAAAAAAAGATTGCTAAAGTCTCCACAAGTTGGTGTGAAACAATTACCAGGCTACTAAGGATTTCTAATGGAACTCAACAATGCTGAAGGCAAAGGCTTTGCACATACGTAAAGGAACACCACCTAGTACAGAATCAGTTCACAGACAGGCAAATCATGTCCCTGGGTCTCTGTAACCCTCAGAATGTACAACACTGTGCCTCACACATTCTAGTGCCCAGTGAACACTGAATTCAACTGACTGGGGGTGTGGGCAACAGGGTACAAGAAAACAAACTATAATCACATTTAGTCCCCAGATTTCACTCTAGTCACTACCTCTGATGTCAGGCGACTTTAAAAAGCTTTCATAAGCATTACTGCTAAACCAGTAAAATGAACTGGTTTACACTCTTTTACTACTGTAAGAGCTGCTTGCTAATTAGCCTTAATTGAAGGTGTGAATAGGAAATATAATGGTTTGAAATTAGGAAGTAGAAGACAGCAAAGGCCCTGAGTAATTTAACATGGGGTTTGGACACAAATCCGAGAAAGCACTTAGAAGAGTGTCTATTGCAAACTAATCAGCCTGGGGAAGCCAGACTGGAGGAACCGGAGAGCGAGAAGTGTCAGCATTGCAGGAAATCGTGGGGAAAGGTGATGAGCCTGGGGAGGGGGCACTGAGCCTCGAGCTCTGTCCCGGCCTGGCTCACTCTGAAACCGTCTCATCCCACTGCAGAGCAAATGGCTGACAAAACAACATTTCAAAAATCCTCCAAATGACAGGTGTGTTTGTCCAAGGTCTCTTTTTAAGACTAAGACGTCAGAGTCCCTCCCCTCAAAGACACTCACAAGCCTCCTGCCACCTTATGGCAGAAGTTCAATATTTAGGTATAAATCCCAGCCTCCAGCTGACTCCAAAGTTTTTCAGGAACTAACCTGAAAAACCTATTTGTGTGCTGAGCACCTGGCAAGTTACTTGTTACGAGGTCAGAACTCAAAAGTATTTTCAAAGACAAATCACATCCATGGACAATTCTCACTGCAGAACAGAACAGGCTTCAAACAGATCTCTGGAACGAATTATTTCCAGTCGGAATAAAAAACTGTTTCTAGGACGTTCTTCAACTGTGGCTGTCTGTTAAACCTGATCCACTCAAAGCATCGAGACCCTGCTTTTAGAAGGGAGCGAGCAACTCAAATAAGGGGGAGAGATGCCTGATCTCCCCCCAGAAAACCCAACCCTGAAAGAGAAGCAAAGGCCCTGGGGGTGGGGGGTGGGCAGGGGGAAACTCGGGCGGCACCTGTGCAGGGCTGGGGACAGCGTCTGTCTGGTTGCCGAGGCCCAGCTGCCCCATCTTGTTCTCTCCAAATGCAAACACAGAGCCCGTTTCTGGAAGGAGAGAACGACATCCGTTAGAGCAAAGGGAAAACAATGCTGAGGACCCTGAATGAGACTGGAAATCAAAGACTCTAAAATCAGAAAAACAGCTCTTTTGCCAGAAGAATACAAGTGAGACAGTTTCCCAAAAGGGGGTGGGGTGGACACCTCGGAGCAGAACCACTGCCCGGCACAGACCCTCCCAGAGCCGTGGCCACTGACACCCGTGGGTGCGGCCCATGAGGCCTTGAGAAGCTGCCCACCAGGCTCCCTGGGCACCTTTCTGATTGTGACCATGAGTCACAGGGGCAGCTCCACCCCCAACCCAGCTGGACTGTTTGGCCTCTGACCCCATTTGGTGGGAAGTGGCCCCTCCTTACCCGTCAAGGCCAAGGTGTGGTTCCTCCCACACGCCGCAGACACGATCACCTCGTGGCTGAGCCCCTCGATGAGTCTGGGGGCTTCAACTCTCTTGGTGTCGCCATGGCCCAGCTGCCCCTTCTCATTTCGCCCTGTGGGTCAGAGGCAGGACAGATGAAGCAGGGAGGAGGAGACAGGGCAGCCAGACCAGCTGCAGGGCGAGTTGGGGTCTCCCAAAACCCACAGCTGAGAGCCAGGTGACAGCAAGCGCGGCTCTGCAGGCGATGCCAGCCTTTCAAGGCTGCTGGGTGGGGGTGGGTAACCAGGTAAGATGTGCAGAGCTGTCCCTAGAGTCGCCTCTGTGGGCAGCCGCCAGCCAACCACCTCACCTGCTCTGACCCTCTTTTCTGGGGCAGGGCTGGGACCCGTCCTGGCATTTTCATCAGCCCTGGCCTCCAGGGAAATGGTATAAAGCAGGTTCAGCCAGGACGTCACATAGGAACGGACGAGCTCATAGAAACTCACAGCTCTCACTTCTCCCCGTTCCTGCCAGACGCCAGTCCCCTCACCCGCTCCACTCCGAGGTATTTTAGGACAGTAACACCTGCCTCGCAGGAGTCTGACTCCCTCAGTGCTCCGGGCGTCTACCACAGACCCTGCACTTCTCTCCTCTCCAACCCCACCTCCTGCCGGCCAGCCTTCACAGGACCCTTAGCCATGTGAACCCCAGCAATGGCCCAAGGCCAGAACACAGAGCTCTGACCCAGGGTCTCCCTGGCCACGGGCCCACCTCCATCTCTAGGCTGTGCTGGCATGGAATCGAGGCAGGAAGGCTCAAGGAGACCGAGCCCTGCCCGGCCCCCAGCATGGCATGGCCCCCCAGGGCTTCCCAGGTGGCACAGTGGTAAAGAATCCGCCTGCTAATCCAGGAGACGCAGGATTGATCCCTGGGTCAGGAAGATTCCCTGGAGGAGGGCACAGCAACCCACTCTAGTATTCTTGCCTTTAAAATCCCATGGACAGAAGAACCTGGCAGGCTCCAGTCCCTGGGGTCACAAAGAGTCACCCATGACAGTGTGACACCCACCCCAACCCCCTACCAGAGCCTTTTAGCTCCAAGTGAACATGGAGGGCTGGGTGGGCCAGAGGCTGGCCTGCTCTTCACCTGACCTAAGTTCTCAACTCAGGTCACAGTAGTTCCAAGTCTAAGCAGCTCAGTGGGCCTCTCCCAGGTCTAAGAACCATGTAAATAAACATTTTAGGAGATTTTCATGGGGCCAGAAAGCCAGGCAACTTGGAAACCATGGGAGGTTTCCATATCCTTCCCTAATAGTGAACTCTGACCTCGCAGTCATGAAAGAGGTCGAGCGGAGCCACAAAGGTGAGCCCCAACTGGCCTGGACAGGGCTCGAGAAGGGGTGACCAGCTGCCATTACAAAAGGAAAACCATCCTCAGGCTCTGATTATGGTGCTCCAAGAGGACAGAGGGACAACAGCGTCAAGTGGAAACTGCCCAAGTTCACTGTGAAAGGCAAGAACAAGTTGGGGCACAATTTCTCCGCAAACATGAGGGGCCCGGGTGGCCGGCGAGTGCAGAACCCATTGAGTTCTGGGCCCCTGCACTAACACTCCCGGGACTCACCGTGGACTCGGGACACCCCCTGTGGCTCGTTCCCCCCACCCCGCCCCGCCCCACAGTGACGAGTCTGCTCATGGGACACGTCTTGGTTCTGGGGCCAGGTCAGAGGCACACCTTATACAATCATTCTCTGCCCACAGGGTCAAGAGAGGGACATTTTCAGAAACACCACATAAGTGAAAGTTAGCAGAAAGATGAGAAAGACCTGAAGTTGGGGACCCTGACACAGGAGGCTGCATCCAGCGCTGGGGACAGTGAGCAGGAGGAGGGTTCTGGGGGAGACAGACCTTGGTGCCCACCAGGAGAAAATGATAATAGTGGCAATGCCATTGTGTCACCAAGAACTACAAAGTTTAAATTTGGGCCAGACACACTGCTTCGCTTTTTTCCAGCAGAATTACAAAATTAGCAGAGTGCAGGGAAGACAACAGATGTTAATGTATTTGGACTTTGGTACAGCCGCTCATGAAATTGCAAAAAATGGTTCAAACAGCCCAAAATAAAAATGTAGTCATATGGACTCAAAGCTAGCCAAAGGGCCAGAAACAAAGGGTGAGGACAAATGCCAACACCCCCCACAGAAAGAAGAGTCCCAGAGCCAGCCGAGGGCGTGGAGGAGACAGAGCCTCAGCCCAAGCCTGCACGAAGGGCCTGCAGAGGAGCCGGGCGCCTGGCACGAAGCCCCCTGCCGGGGACCCTGAAATGAGAGGGGGGCGAAGGCACAGGGCCGGCTCCCTGGCATCCAGGCCAGGAGCCCAGGGGCAGGGCATGCGGTGACTCTGGGAGTTAACTCGGCTGTCTGGGCAAGCAGAGTAAGAAACTGAGGGACAGCACTGCAGAGAGCCGGGCTGGCGTCACCACGGGGCGGATGTGAAAGCTGGTGGCATTTAAAGTGGCAGGCACAGAGGTCTACGTCATACTGTGCTGGGTGCTGGGGGGACCGCAAGCCTAAAATAAAACAGGATTCAGTTCTAGGCCCCTCGATATCAGAAAGCTGTAGGTTCAGTCAGAACGTTCAGGAGAGGGCTGCTTGAAGACGATCCTGAGAAACCGGGGGCGAACCGCTCAAGACCAGGCAGGAGGGCAGAGACCAGCGGTGCGCTCTGGGGGCGGACGGGGGGCGTCAGAGGAGAGGACACACGGGCGGGGGCAGCAGGGGGCCCTCCACCCAGGGGACGGGGGAAGCGAGCCCCCAGGCACTTACCCCAGCTCCACAGCTTCCCTTCCGTGGTGATGAGGAGGCTGTGGGCAGCGCACGACCCCGAAACCACCGTCCGCACCCGGACCCCCGACAGGCACCCATACCGGTGGGGCCCCCACAGGTTCTGACCGAGGTTGCGATAAGCAGCTGTGAGGAGTAAAAGACGGCACGTCAGACCCCCAGAGCCCACTGATGGGGGGCCGCCCAAGGGTCACCCCCTCCCAAGTGCACCCCCAGGGGCTCCGGGGCAGCTGTCAGGACACGGCGCTCATCTCTGGTCCGGACTCACCAGGGACGCTGCTGCCGAGTGCCACAAGCTGGTGGCCAAAGACAAGCGCCCTCCTCCCACAGCCCCAGGCAGGAGAGGGCTGACCCAGAAACGCGGGGAGCAGGCCGGCATCTCCCTCACCCTTCTGGACACCTCCTGGGGGTGGGGAGGCCCGGCCGCTGAAAGCTTCCTGGGGGTCAGCCCTGAGCCTGCCGCCCCTTCCTCCAGGGCCCGTCAGGCGGGCCGGGCCGGGCCACGACCCCTAGCTTCACACAGGGATATGCTCCCCGGAAGGCCCTCCCGCCGCCCCGTTCCCCGCACCTCAGGTCACACACACCCTGCTCTGGGAGGGTGAGGTCAGACTGAGCCTACTGCATCTCCCTGCTTCCTGCCCTGAGGGCGCCCCACGTGCTGCTCCAGGCACGAGGCCCCCTTCACAGCCCCCCTTCGCCTTATTAGAGGACAAGGTGTGGCCAAATTTTGGCTTATTTCTCTCAACTTGAGGCTCTCAGAGACAGAAAAACGAGCTCATTTTAGGCCTGTGGTGACTTTTATGAAATACTAGCTGCTGCCAAACCAACTGTGTCAGACTGACCTGGATGCAGGAGCTGACTGAGACCAACCTCGCCATCAGGCACCTGGCTCCAGGGGGAGAGTCTGTTAACCCGCCCAGGCCGCCCCATGCCGAGGCGCCACCAGCAGAGGGCGCCCCGCGAAGCCTCTCAGAGTCGCACGGGGCCTGGGGGGCGGGGCAGCCCACTCAGCACCGGGCCTGGAGACTCTGCGGGCGAGGAGGGGGCGGGACAGGCCGCAGTCCATGGGGCCGCAGGGAGTCGACACTCCTGTGCAGCCACCCTTCAGTTTCAGAGCGCGCGGCGAGTGTGTGCTCAGTCTGACTGTGACCCCGTGGGCTGCAGCCCACCAGGCTCCTCTGTCCATGGGATCTTCCAGGAAAGAAACACTGCAGTGGGTTGCAGTTTCCTTCTCCAGGGAAGTCACACCGGGAGGGTCCCCCAAAGGTGGGAACTTCCCCAGCACCCCCTGGGCTTCTCCACCTGAAAACACTGCTCTATACTGCAAGGTGAGAGAAGATCCAGCAACTTACTGGGTAAAAGCAAATCAGAAATGACAGCCTTCATGCCTATGTTGAGGGCTGCTATCGTGGTGGCCTGAGTGCTGGGTGCCATGTCTGTGGACAACACGCAGTGCCAGGGGACACCATGGCTGACCCAAGGGCCGTAAATGGACCCCCTGACGGTTGATAGAAGATCTGATTTGCCAGAGCATCTTCCCTGGCTGAGTTCCACAAATATCAGAGGCCAAAATGTCATCAGTTCGTGAGAGGTGGGAATTCTCAGGGCCTCCCAAGGAAGCTTCAGAGGAAGCCTAGTCAAAAGAAAGGCACTGCAGCAGTCCCAGGCAAGGGGGCCAGGCAGCTCACTAATGCCCGGGCCGGGCTGAGTCAGAGGTCCAGTGATGCGTACCCGAGGGCGGATAGGCTCTGGATGGAAGGCCGCTTTGAGGGCAGGGGGAGTGGGAAAGGCTAGGACAGGCAGGGGATCCTTCTTCCCTTGAGGTCTGGCACGGGTGGGAAACCCAATCCCCACTCCCTTTCCTTCACATCTACTGGAGAGGTCATGGCAGCCCAAAGACAAGGAAAGACTTAAAAATTTTGTTTCATTACATAAAACAAAATTACATTCAGAGGGAGAAACATCTGGGAGGCAAAGGTAGGCCTGGGAGAAAACAAAAAGGCACTCTTAGAGCGAGGCCGAGCAGGGTGCTACTCCTTCAACCAGACGCTGCCCTGCTTCGCCACGGGCTCCCCTCTGGAATCTACTTCCTGATCAGGGCCCCGGGCGTCTCTAGTCGCAAACACGGGCCTCTCATTTAAAGAGCAGCCTCGAGAAACAATGCAACACCTGCGCAGGAACCGGCAGGGGGACTGACGCGATCACGCCCCGGGAAAGGTGCCAGGTACCACCAGCCGCCAGGCAGCTCGAGCCCAGACAGCTGGGTCCTGCAGGCTGGGCCCTGGCACCAACAGGAAAGTGGCTCAAACCCATGTCTAACTCAGCTGGACCCTGAGCGCCACCAAAGCCCCCGCCTGCTGTTTTCGTGGACTGAGATGATCTCCAGTGCCTGCCCCGAGGCCCCAGGGAGTGTCAGTGTGCAAATATTTGTTCACTGGGCAATGCTGGAAAGTACTTTGGGAATCTTTCCAAGTGAAATCAAGAAGCCATAAGACGTGGCAAAGCGCCAGCCTCACTCTTTTGGACGGGCTGGTATTCCCCCCAAGGAAAGACACCACCTTTCAAAAAACATTTGGGGACCAAGATACTTCTCGGGACCTCTCCACTCTCCCAACTCCAGACTGTTTCTTGCTTTGTCAGACTCATTCCTGCAACCATTTGGCAGTTTGCAAGGAAACATGAACTCTTCTGAAATGTCTATCAAGTTTGACATTTGACACGTGACCCATGTTGAGGACGCTTTGACATTCCACAGCACCAGCCTCTCCATTTTAATGAAGCTAAGTGACATGGAAAGAAAAATGGGAAAAAAGTATCAATGCTTATTTGAGGATAACATTTATATTTTTGTTTATCTCAATGAAATTATCAAAACCAGAGTTGTGCCCAAGTGAGAGTCCTGCTGAAGACCCGGGTTCAAATCCAGTCCCACCACGAGAGAGGCTGTGGCCCTGGGCGATCCCTTGGCCTCTCTGAGCGCCCCTGTGAACAGAGCACCTACCTGGCCACCAGAATCACACTGGACACACACACAGGAAGCACTCAGTAACAGCATCTTCAAGTTTTTAGACATCGTTTCTCATACCTTGTTGTTTAGGCACTTCTTTTCGACCAATCAAGTCCCAGTTGGTTGCCCCAAAAATCAAAAGCTGCCCTTTGCACTTAGACCCTTCAAGTTTCTACAGAGAAAGAGAGGGGTGGGGGGGGGGAGAAAAATTAGCTTGCAATGCTGCTTCTAACTTCCCAAACCTGTCTAACAGCAGCAGGAAACAAGACAGTAATAATAATGCAACATGAACGCTTGCCCCAGAGGCCTGCACAGCGGACAGACAAAGGGGTATGGCACAGTCACCACTTTCCAAGTGGAAACCGATGAGCACCCAGCAGCTCATCAGTCAAGCCCAGGCTCGGCGTTATCCTTTGATTTCTCTTTAAAATATCTTTGGCCAAACACGGCAAAAGCAACCAAATGACATTCGCCCTCTCAGCTCTGCAGACTGCCACACAGGTATCTGCAAGAGGCCTGCCATGTCATGCAGGGAACGTGTTAAAACCACTGTCCTAAAAAAATAAATAAATAAAAAATAAACAAAACCACTGTCCTTGGGGCTAAGGCGGCATCTTCCCAACATCAGCGCAGGGAGCCACACGCGGGCCTGCAGCTCTGGGGCCGGGGCGCCTTTCCCACCCTCCCTGGGCACTCCTCACCGCAGGAGCTTTCTGGGGAAGACAAACAGCAGCCCCCGGGTTCAGGGCTCCCCTGAAGGGAGGAAGAGCGGGTGGGCGGCCTCCCACAGGCCTGTCCTCACTGCTGGCCCGCAGCCAGGGGGCTGCAGGCCAGCACACCTCCATCCCGAGGGCCAGGCGCTCACTGTCAGGGGAGCACGTGCTGCTTGAAAAGGCTACTGTCGTGTTTCGGGTGGGATTCACTCTGGGCTCAGCCTGGGACACTCGTTACGGCCAACCGTTCATCAGAGTCCCTTCTGAGTCTCCACACAGGCCAGGGGAGCAGTTACTTCCTGTTCTGCTTTCATCCTCCACACCGTCTTCGTCCCAGGGCGTTAAAGGCAAAGAAGGGGTTTTCCTTCAGTTTAGAGAAGTGTTCTTGGAAGGCTTCGAGAAGAAACCAAACAGCTGCAAGTCCAGTCATCTAACCCTAAGCGCTGACTGCCCTGGCGAGACATCCTGGCAGCCCAGCGTGTGTGTGCAGCTGGGCGGGGGATGGGGGGTGGATTCCATTTCTTGGGGAACTCTGTGACCTAAACCTGACATCACAGGCACCCCCCGCACCCCGCCCCGATCCCATCGTGCGAGGGAGGCGGTCCATCTGCCGTCTGTGTGCAAAGGGCAACGAAGCAGCCAGGGCTGCAGAGCGACTCTGCCCCATTTCAATTATTCAGAGAATGACCTTAATCGGGGCGGTCCACCCTGCAGCACCCAGGCTCCGATTACGTGAATGGGAGCCGAGTTTCCCCTGGTTATCTCCCCTTCTTGTTTAACTGGTAAACTTGGCTGGAACATTCTATAGGTCTATTGCAGGAGGCCAACAGCATCAGGGGAGTGTTAAATTCCCAGTGGAGGGAACAGCCCTGGGTCTCCGTCTACATTACCAACTTGCTCTCCATTATTCCTCAGGTCTGCATGGAGGGGCAGCAGAGACTCAGGATGAACCTAAGCACCATGGAATGAGCTATCAGGCCAGAACAGTGGAGAGAAGAGACCGGAATTGACCATGACCCCCTAGGCGGGCAGAGATCAGTAAACCGCTCCACACGACCATGAGCTCAGCACACTAACAAGTCACCAGTGCTGGCAGCCGCTGTAGGGCCTGCAGTCCGCCAGAAAGAGCTGCCATCACCCTGGGCACAAGTGTCTCCTGTGACCCGGAGATGCCAGCGCCTGCCGAGTGGTCCAGGGCTTGTGGGTACCGGCCACTGAGCTGCTGAGCATTTACACAAACCCCCAAGCCTTCAGGGAACACAAGGTGCTCGGTGAGAAACCTTGGTGAACTGGTCAACTGTGTCTCCTCCAGTGACAGTGGTCTTGGAAGGATGGTGAGCGGTACCTCGTCCGGGTTTTTAATGCCACGGGCCTCACTCCGTCACGTGAGATGTATTATCTACCTAACTCTTTGCTATAGGATGCCTAGCCTTATTTATCTATTAATTCCATTCTTCCCTCCACCTGACATGAAATAAGAAATTCAAGTAAGGACTGGAACTCCTCTAACATCTCTTAAAACATCACAGCCCAGGTCCCTCTTTGCCATAGAGCTGAACCTGCACACGCGTGGGAGACCCCAGATGCGAACAGGCTCCATGCAGGGCACCCCAGGGGTGGCTGCCAGGGCTGTGAGCCCCAGAGGGTCCCGGGCCGCCCAGGTGTAACCCGCCTTCACTGTGGGGCCATCAGCAGCCATGCTGTGCTGCCAGTATCTCCAGATCATGTGGTAGAAAAGCTAGAACAGTCTCCCACCAGGATGGGAGAAATTTTGCAGCCTTGGAAGAACAGCCACGGCAGGCGCACGTGCTGAACTTCTTCAATCAACAAAATGGGGTTTCAGTAAAATGATGTTTACTGCCCTAGTGCAAGAAGGGTGTTTATAAGACTGAGAATCAGCCTTGAACATACATCCATTTAGAAAGCTGCCGCTCCCGGCAGAGGGAAGACCATTCAGAGAAAGGCCAGCAACAATTCCCTAGTGGGCTATCAACTGAAACAGGCTCCAAGCTCAGTTTTCAGTTGCATTTATCTGGTCCTTTCAGATGAGGCAGAGTTGTCCCAGGGTCCACAAAACCTGAGCAACCCAACACTGCAAGAACCACAAAGACCTGGACAGCTTGCGACACTCACCTGTCTTCCAGGAGTCAGCCAAGGCTGCTCACTTTACCGACAGGGAATTCTGGTTCCACCAACCCTGGAGGATCGGAGAATGCTCATCTGATACAACCACAGAGAAACCTGAGGTCCTGAGAGGGAGCATTTTCTGGGACTGAAATCCTAAGAATGTTCTATACAAACACACAGCTTCTCCTCAAGGCGACTCTGTTCCTCAACCAGACAAGTATTTGGGGTTTATCTTTCACAAGCCCAACGTCTGCAGCTCCGAGTTAACTGAAGGCAACACGGCTTCAAACAGCTGGCAGCTGCCCTCACACAAACCCTCTTTCCAACAGTCCTGGAAGGCAGCGAGGCTTGCGAACGTCTCAGTAAAAAGCCTCTTTCTGAGACGAGCTGAGGACGGTCACTGGCCTGCAGAAGCAGCCAGGGCTCCCAGGACCGCTCCCCGGGTGCTTGCCTTGGAGTCCAGGAGCACGCCCGCGAGAGGAGCAGCGCCCACAGAGGGCGAGCGCCGGGGGGCAATGGGGCGGCCTGGCCCCGGCCCTGGCCGTGCGCCAGCCGACGCTAAAAGGAACTCAAGGCCGAACTGCGAAGCGCTGAGGAGCCTCCCGCGGCAGACCTCAGCCTCCTGCGCGCCCCGCGCCGAGGACGGTGCTGGCCAGCGCACTGCACACGCCCTCCCTGCGACTGCCTCCTGGGGTCAATCTCAGCAGCAGGGTAAGCATCCCCTACTTCAAGGGAGCTAACCTACTGCTCTGAAATGCCCACTGGAAACACTGGAGAGACAGCAGCAGCTGGCCTTTCTTTTCCATCCCTCTGCGCTGGAGGGAAAATGTCCAGAGTCCCGCTCAGAGGATCACGTTTGTTAAGACAGTCGCTGTGTTCCTTTTCTCAACACGTTGCCCTGGGCTGGTCCCCAAGCCGAGGTGACACACTTCAGCCACACATGCTCCGTGACAGCACCCTCCTCCACCATCCAACACGCTGACCCTGCCCACGAGAGGGCACGTACAGAGCATCCCTAACAATCTGCAGAGGTGTTAAGGATGACATCAGGAGAAACAACCCTGAGCCCAGTGGAAATCTAGCTCCATGTGGTCTTGGGCCAGGCTCTCAGACTCTGTGCCCCAACTTCCTCACCTATTAAGGCGGACCTAGAAAGGCACCGTTGCTAACCATTTAAATACTGCCTGAGCTTCCCTGGGGGAAAGCACGCTGACTGGGACTGAGAAAAGGATCCCTCCAGACCGTGACTCTCTACCCCAAGTGCAAGTTTGCACTATTTAGAGTTATCTGAGCAGCTGCTGAAAGCTTTGACCCGCTCCCTAAACACATGTCCCCCTGACACCAGATTAAGTTCTCTGGCTCTGCAAGGTTTTGCAGGCATATGGACTGGTCGCAACCTTAACTAAGAGTGGAAGATCCAACTCTAACGAGCAAATGAAAGCCCATTCAGGCCAAGGGAGTTGGGGGAGAACCCTGCGCAGAGCCCACACGGAGGGCCCGGGCCCTCGGACCACAAGCGGCGAACAAAAATCTCAGACACCTCTGAGGGTGGGGAGGTGCCGTTCCCGACCTCGGGGAGGGGGAGGGCTAGGGCTCTCCGGAGCATGCGCCCTCGCGCCGGGCCCCGGAGCCCGCCACCCCCGCCGGCCCGGCGGCGCGAGACCGCGCGGGGCAGCACAGGGCATGCGCCGCGGCCGCCAGGCCCCGCCCCCCCGGAGCGCCGGAGCCGAGGCGGCGGGAACCTCAAAGCCCCGGCGAGGATCGCCGCGCCCCGGGCGCGCCGGTGGGCGCCCCCCCCCGCAGCACCAGGGCTGCCCGGCGGCCGCGGGGGCCCGGGAACGGCCGAGGGCGCTTGTCTCCGCGCCCCGCGCCCCGCGCGCGCCTCCGCGCCTTCGGCCGGAGACAACTTGCAGAAGTCCCCTTCCCGGCGCGCGGGGGAGGCGGAGGGCGTCCGCGGGCGCGGCGCCGGAGGCGGGGCCCTGACCCCCGCGGGCGGGCTCCGGCCGCCCCTCCCCCGCGGGCCCGGGGCGCGCGCCCCAACGGCCAACGGCCGCGCGGTGGGGTAGGCCCCGGCCCGCGCCCTTTTGTTGCGCGGCGGCAACGATGATTCAGCCCGCGGCCTGCGCCGACCCCGCCGCCCCGGGCCGGGACCCGCGGTGACGCGCCGCGGCCCTCGCCCGCCGCCCCCAGGCTCGGCCCCGTACTCACGACGCGCTCCTTGGTGTGCTCGGGCTCGGTGATGACCGCTGCCGCGCCGCCGGCCTTGGTCGCCGCGGGCCGCGCCGCGCGCTTTCCCCCGCCGGGGGCCCCGTCGAGCTCCAGGCCGTCCTCGTCGCCGCTGCTGCCCCCACCGCTGCTGCTGCTGCAGCGTTCCGGCCGCTCGCGCTTCCTGCCTGCGGGGCCGCCGCGCTTCCTGGGCCCCGAACGGGCCGTGCCGTTGCCCGAGCTCGGCTCCTCCCAGGCCGCCGCCGCCTTCTTCCTGGGCATGGTCGCGCTGGAGGAGACACGGGGCAGCGGCGCACAATGGACGGGTTATAAACCGCGCGGGGGGAGGGGAGCCGGCCGAGCCCGCGGCCTCCACTTCCTCCCCTGCCCGCCCCGAAGTGGCGGCCGCGGGGCGGGCGGAGAGGGGGCGAGCCTGGAGGAAATCGCGCCGCCTCCGGGGAATCCCGCACGGGAGCCCAGGTCCCCGACTGTAATCCGCTCAAGGAAAGAACAAATAAATGGGAGGCCCCCAATGCCCATCCTCAAGTTAGCTTTGCCCATATCGCATCCTAATTGCAGCCCGGTGCCCAAAAAAGTAATGGGAGAGAAAAAGGGAGTCTCTGGTCCACCAGGTTTTCATTACAGAAGGCTTCGGGGCACTTCAGAGGTTCCCTTTCGGCACCTGGGGGAGGGGGGCGGTGAAGGAGCTTAGCCCTCCCCAGCTGCCCCACCTGCTGCTTTCGTCTCCGCGGCCCCCTCCCCAAGCCCACTCAAATGCACTTCTCTTCACCGCCCGCCTGAATCCCCAGTTCCGCTCCAGCCTGGGGTTCAGACCTCGGGCCCTAAAGGAGCCGAATCCCTCGGAGGCGGGGGGGTTGGGGGGGGAGTGAGGCTGTCCCCCGCGAGAAGTGAGGGGCGGCGCAAATAAAGCCGGCCCCCAGCCCCAAACACCTGCTCGCAGACACGAAAAATAAGAACTTTAATGGTGCTCTCCTGTCTCCCAGCCCCTCCCCGAGCGTGCGGCTCGGCCGGTCCCCCGATCCCGGCTGCCGAGTGGCCGGCTCCGCCGCTACCTTCCCCAGCGTCCCCGCGCCTCAGCCCTGTCTGCCCTTTTTTTTTTTTTTTAATTGATTTTGAACAATGGGATCTCTGTCTGTCTCCGATTAAACCACGTGGATCCGCCTTCCTTCCCCCTTTTATTCATTCAATTCCCCCACCCCCCTTCCCCATTTTTTTTTTTTTTTACCATTTATCCTCTTTAAAAAAAGAGGGAGGGGGGAAAAAAAACTTTCCCAGACCCCGCAAACTGATCGCTATCGATTTCATTTTCAGCCCCTACCTGCTCAGAGTGACGAGAAACCGGAGAGAAAAAGGAAGAGGAGCGGCTAAAAGACGAACCGAAGGGCTTTTTTTTCTCCCCGGCCCAGACGAGGGCTCCAGCCCACTCTCCAGATTCACTTAAAATGTAAATACGAGCTTCCAGAACAAATGCTACAACACAAAACAGAAACACATGTGCGGCCGGGCGGCAAGCGAGCGCGGCGGGGCGGGCGGCGCGGGGCCCGGGGAGCGCGCGCCCCCTGCCGGCCGGCGGACCGGCGGCCGGGCCCTCGCCGCACTCGCGGGGCAGCGCGGCCCACCCGAGCCTGCGCCCGGCGCCCCGCCGCCAGGCGCCGCTCCCCGGTCCTGCGCGTTTCGTGGGCGGCGCCACGTGCCCCGCGCATCAGACATTACTTTGGGGGTTAGGCGAGCGTTGGACTGTTTTTCCCGGGCACGTCTAGACAGGTCACCTGAGGACACTCGCTGGAAAATAGTTACTTTTCTTACGAATCCGCCAACAAGGGACGTGCCCTAATTGAGTGATTGGAATGAACGATGAATACAATTTGAATAATTTTCTCCAGCGCCGAGAAAAGTTGTATATTTTACTTATCTATGAATGTGCCCCACTATGTTGCAAGATGCTGTTAACGTGGTCGAGTTACATACATAAATGTTTCCTGTATTAGCGAATTAAGGAGTAATGAATTTGGAGGCCAAAGAGGCACTGGAATTCCTAATGGAAAATTTTCACTTAGAGACCAATACTTACTGAGGCCCCCGAACATGCAAGACACGCAGTGCTAGGTGCAAAGGTTGAGAACTAGGTTTCTGCCCTAGTGGAATGCACAGTGAAACGGGAAAGGTTAAACTAGTACTTGCAAGTATGTGATGTGGTTTTCAAGACATGCTATCCCAAATTATGCCACCTTAGCATATTGAATAAACCGAAGAAAAGATTTTGAGAAAACAGCAGAAATCAGAAGGTCATACTGACCTTCTTCCCAAAAACCAATCGTAAAACCCTCAGGTGAGAGATGCCCTTCACATTCCTGGAGGACAGAACATCCTTATCTCTGAAGACAAAGGGAAACTTAGAAGAATCTTGATAAACAAGATTTGCTAAATTGCCTCCCGTGTACTACACTTAACACTTAATCTCACGCTGGTTCACCTCCCCAGATCATCTCGACTGTCTGCTCTTCATCACACCTAGCAGTAAAATACACAGCTCTGTTTCTTTGGGACGTCATTTCCTTATGAAGTCTCCTGTGTCACCTAAAACTTAGGGTAAAATAAGTCTGTATGCTTTTTTCCTGTTGATCCGTCTTTGTCAGCAAAATTTTCAAACCCAGCCAGGGACCAGGTGGAGGAAAGCTTTTTTTCCCTTCCATAAGGCTTGCAAAGTGATACTTATGTAGGACTGCCCTGGCAAGGGAATCCATCCTATTCTGGGTCAGGGAAGGCATCCCTGTAGAAAGATCATCTGAGCCAAGTCACTGGCAGGGTGGGTGAGACTTACAGATGCACTGGGGTAGGAAGACCTCCAGGGCGGATGGAGGGAGCAGCACACACACAAGCCCAGGGAGCTTGGGACCTCCCTGGGACAGTGGCTGAGACTCATCGTTGCCAATGCAGAGGACCCAGGTTCGATCCCTGGTCAGGGAACTAGAGCCCACATACTGCAACTAAAAAAGATCCCCCATGCTACAACAAATAAATATTTTTTAAAAGTCTAGGGATCTTGAAAGACATGCTTTCTGGGTATCCCATGGGATTGGTGCGTGTGTTAGTCACTCTGTCGAGTCCAACTGTTTGCAACTCCGTGGACTGTAGCCTGCCAAGCTCCTCTGTCCATGGAATTCTCAAGGACTGGGTTGCCATTCCCTTCTCCAGGGGATCTTTCCAACCCAGGGATCAAACTCAGGTCTCCTGCACTGCAGGGGGATTCCTTACCATCTGAGCCTCCAGGAGCACTTACAGGATTGATAGAGAAGAACAATGGGTCTGAGCTGGAGACAGGCAAGTGCTAGCTCATGTAGAGCCTGGTTGCCCTATTAAGGGTTGCCTTTTGCTAGAAGATCTTGTTGTCTCATTCTGGGAACAGGAGGAGAAAGGCTTACTTTTCTCCTACTGGTCCGCCTTTCCACATTTTTATTTCAATATCACTCAGTCTCCTACAATGATTTTTACCTGATTTCTTTTTCCTTAAGCATTCTGCACAAGGAAATTCCTATTTTAGGCAACTTCCTGAAGATGGCTAGAGTACTAGGATTCTTTGTAGTCAATTCATTTCTTAACCATTGTTGCAAGAAGCAGAATTCAGGAGGCAACAAATGTTTAAAGGAAGACAGAAAAAGCAAGAGGCCTAAACCTAAAGTATTTGATCAGACTCAAAAGTCTGTGTGTCCAGGGAGCCAAGACCATTTATGTAAAAGAACTTGGGAAATAAGAAGTGAGCTGGTGCATTTCATAGATTTTCAGAAAGGTCAAGACAGGCTGTAGAAGCACCCTTTGAAAGCCTCTTCTTAATAGATTTAGGAGATTAAACCTTGATATTTTGATACAAAACATAAGCAGAGCCAACCAGACAAGAATTTTGCCTGAATATGCCATCAAGACCCCTCCAGGAAATGGCATGCCAATGCTTGTCAGGCTGCGGTGGGTGGGTGGGTGGTTATCCGCCCAACACCCTGTGTGGCCAATTAGGAGCAGTACAGACAGTACCTTTAGATGTCAGCCAGCGAATCTTTTTCTTTTTTCTATTTCTCCATTATAAAGCTTTTTGCCGGCTCGAAAGACACAGGCGTCAGAAACGCTGATGCAATGAGACGCTAATATCAGATTGCATCATACAATCCCAGGTGTGGTGCCCCTGAAACTGGTTTTTCTTGAGGTGGTGCTGCCGTAGAAAAGCGCTTCGGGTAGAACACCCGAGAACTGGCCCTACTTGTCAGGTGGCAGGGGTAATTTTTGCAACAACATGCCTCAATTCCACAGCAGTATTCTCCCGGGGAAGCCGGCGTGGCTTTCCAAATGGGTGTGCAGTCGACACTCACCAGTTGGGTGTGTCGCGCTGCGGCTTACGTCACGAACGTCACTCAGGGAGGTGCGCCTGCCAGACAGGCTGGGCACGACACTCCCGCCTCCGAGGTGGGCTCTGATCGGATCTCACTTGAATGGGGCCACTTCTCTGGGAACAGACCAACTTGGTGCAAAGCTGGAAGAGGAGAAAGGAGAGAAGGTGGCTAAGGCTTCTCAGGCACTTGCTGGGTGGCTGGCGCTGTGTTGCAAGCACAAAACCTTAGAAGTGCGGGTTCTACCTTCCAGCCTGCCATCACCAGGACCCAAGGCTGCCTCCCCGCGTGTTCATAAAGTCATACGTCAAGTGAGATCAGGCTCCGATTGAGGCCTCTCCCAAAAATGGAATGCTATTCAACTCGGCCACAGAAAGCTACATCTCCTGTTGGAAGATTAACTTTCTGGTCCAGTGTCTATAAAAAAATGATCACTGTTCATGGGTTAGGTAATGATGCTACTGCCCACTGAAAAATTGGTCTCTGTGCAGTTGGGTTAGGCTAAGATAATATACGGCTTCCCTGCTGGCTCAGATGGTAAAGCATCTGCCCGCAATGCGGGAGACATGGGTTCGATCCCTGGGTTGGGAAGATGCCCTGGCGAAGAAGATACAACTTGGATCTTTGCCATCCAAAATGGGAACCATGCTGGAAATGTGACCAGTGCGAACTGAGATGTACTGTTGGTGTACATACCCTGGATTTCCAAGTCTTAGGACAGCATAAAAGAGTATGAAATCTCGCATTACTAACTTTATTATATCGATCCCATGTTGAAATGATACTATTTTTGACCTTTAGGTAAATGTAGTATTAAAAGGAACATCACCTGTTTCTTTTTCATCTTTTCAGTGTGGCCAGTACAAATGTTTAAATGACCTTTTT